CTATGCGATCCATCATCAGACCAGAAACCGTCGGGCCGTGCTACAGTCAGTTGTATCTTGACTCCTACCCACCTCCAATGGGAAGCTTGGGAATCACCTAATGTGTAATGGACGTGAACAATCACTCGAAGAAGAAAGAACGGTTACTTACTGTTGTTCTTCGAGATGTGTTGTTCACGTCCATTACACTTCCCACCCTCCTTCCCCTCTGTCGGAGTCTCCGGCAAGAAGGAACCGGAGAGGTCGGGTCGGCAGGGATATATATACCCTGGAGCGGGAAGGAGGGGGCCCTGCCGGCCCGACGGGAGCCGCTAAGGGAAAAAGTTTCCGACGTCCGTGCACACGGCGCGCGTACACCTAATGTGTAATGGACGTGAACAACACATCTCGAAGAACAACAGTTACAGAAGGTAAGTAACCGTTCTTTATAGGGTACTGTCTTTATAGGAAATAATTACATGGTCTTGAATTGTTTTAACAACATAAAGATTAAAATCTGTAACAAAATAACAAGAGGATCCTTCCTCAAACCTATGGATTACAAAAGGGCTATAAATATGTATTCACACTGCAAATTACAGTTACTAGTGACATTTCAAACATGAAGTCCTCAAAGGTGAGCTATAAAGGGCAAAGGCATGGTTAAGATTACACCTGTGTTCTTTGAGACACAGTTATGCCTTTACTTGCCTTAAGAACTAAAGATAATTGGCTTAATGTTGCACAGCAAGCCTAAGGAAGAATGAGGTTTGCAGAGTGATGGAAACTATATTCTTCTTAGTCGATATTACTGTGGTATGTGAAATGATCTGACTTGTAAAATCAGGAAAAAATAATGCTGGAGGATATATCTATAATACTCTGGTTATGTTAATTTACCTCAAAGTATTTTGTCACCACTGCAGCATAGTGATATGAAGAGAAACTTTTGACTATAGTGAATAAAAAAGTGAGTGAGGACTAGCCTCTCTCCCCTAGAGACCAGAGTCAAATTCTGATTTAGGTCACAAATTAAGTTGTCTGGTGTCTCATCCTAGTTTAGAGTGGATATTTGTTGACTATCACAAAAAAACAACAAACTTGGACATAACTGGCAGGATCTCAGACTCCAGATTGGAATAGCAAAAGTGTTGAATGTCCTGGATAAGGTATGTTAGAAGAGTTAAGTGAGGAACATTACATAATCTCTGCCCTCACCACAGGCCACTGAGAGAACTATTCATTCTTCCCTTTTTTGAGCACCAACTAAACCTAATTTTAAAAAGGAAAAGAAACAACATATTTCAAAAATAAAACTCTAAAGCCATATAATCCCTCTGATCTGCATGAGTAGCTCCCATTGGTGTTAGTGGCTGGTCCACACACAGACGTACAGTAAGATATGAACAGTGACTTTATACTAAAGCACAAATTGCAAATCTTTAAAGTCAGTCTACTTCTGGTCACTAAATTATCAGTGTTAAATTCATTTTATATTTAATGTGTTTCCTTCTCTAAAAATTGGCAATCTTTTGATCTTTAAATACTATATTTGGATTTTAAAATGTTTTTCAGAGCCTGGGAATTTATCAGTCATAATATGAGGAAAAAAGGGTCATTATTAGTGACAGTCCCAAGCCTTGAAGAATCTATCTCAAACCTACAGGTTCGTGGTTCTTTTTCAAATAGTTTTAGCTGACACATTTTATCTTACTCTTTATGAAGGGCTTATAGTGAGTCAATATGCATTCTAATAATTACTATTCAGACTCCACAGTATCACAGAGAGGGCAGTGTGGTCAAATGCTTAGAGCAGAGAACTGGGAATCAGGACCCTGGGATCTATTCCCAGCTTTGCCACCAATTTGCATGATCTTGGAAAACTTATTTCAATCTCTCTGTGCCTTGGTTCCCCAGCTGTAAAATTGGGATACTATTTATCTACCCCCACAGGGCTGTTGTGATGCTTAATTCATACTAGCCCTTAATTTTGAGGATCTCAAAGTATTATACTATTATTCAAGCCTATACTATGTATGTTTTGAGTTGTATAACATGCTTTCATCAATATATTACTTGGAATATGGGTGGAAACATAAAATCATGTGTATAATTAATCGGTAGATGTTAATCCAAAGAGACTCCCATTCCAGATAAAAACTCAGTATGTTTTCCACAGTCAGACCCAAACTTGAGTAAACAGATAAGCTGACTGAGTTACTTTTCAGAAGTTATCCTTACTCTTTCATATTTAGGTAAGATGATGCTTCCAAAAATAATTTTAACTTACCAATGGTGAATAAGCTGTAATGGCTAAACTGTCTTTCTCTCCTCTTCTCACTGATGTCTGCCACCCTTGGAACATAGGTTGAGTTGGTTGTTCAAAACTGTGTTAATTTATGTATCTGTTTTAAATTGTTTCAGACGGATATACTGCTCAGCCAGTGGGTAGAAGAGATGAAGTTGGACTATGATGTATACATGGAAAAGGATATTGATAGAGAAGCACTTGAACAAATTCATTTGTACAAGATTCTCTAGCATACAGACTGATTTACTGATAACAGTATAAAATCATTGACTTCAGAGGGAGCTGTGTGAAAGGACTGTAGGATTAAGCCCTATTTCCAAATAAATCATAACAAATCTTACTGTTTATTTTAGAAATTATACATATTTTCAAAAGCTCCCGTTTCATTGGTGAGAACATATTTTGAGATGTCAAATTTGCATTAAAGTTCTCAGTGTGTCATAACAGTACAATAAATTTTAGCCACTAGGTATCTCTGTAGCTTCATTCTGCATGGAAGTGTTTTGAAAGAATGGCAGTCTACGAACACCAGAAGAGTCCATCTTGTGCACTATTAATGGCTGTGAACCTCCCAAATATTTTTTTTAAATATATTAACAGAAAAATAGAGACCCACTATTAAATGTGAATGGTATTCATATATTTAACACAGCTTTATTTAAAAGCTTTAATATATTATGTTGGGGTTTTAGTACTGACAAACTTACAGTACTGCTATTAATATTCTGCCTATGGAATGCCTGATTTTTTTTTAAGGTCTGCACAGTAGCTACAGGCATTGATGTAGAAAAGATTATTGTCCCAATTTAGAGTAGCATTGTGACAGTGGCGATCTCCTTCTATTCAATGGTCCCCAGGTTGACTGTTGATGTAATTGGGGATAAATAAGAATCCTTCAGAAATATTGGTCTAAATATAGGAGAATAAAAATCTGCTTCACTTCCTTAATTTTAATGAGGATTGTAAGGGGTTAAGAAACTAAATATTCTGAGCAAGAGTTATGGCCTAGCATAATCTTTGGTGATGTAAAACATTGGCAATACACAATAACAGAACCGTCCCCAAACCCTCCCAAAGAGAATGAAACACACACACACACACACACACACACACACACACACACACACACACACAGTCTTATTATTAGTATTT